GGCTGTGAAATCATGACCTGAGTAGCTCTTCACCAGGTGCTTCATCAGTGTGTTTGGGATGTGCCCAGAGATCCTCGGGATACACCGAGGACTCACTCTGCCCACAGATGCACGGAGTAATGGGAGGGGCCTCTGGGATGTGTGAGGCTGTGCTGGCTGGGGAGGTGGGAGGTGGCTGACCCCACAAAGCTGCTTTGCTTTGTGGCCACCCTTTGTTCCCACCACTGACCTGCTCCTGCCTTTCCAGGATCACAAAGACCAGCCTCCGCTTCAACCCTGCCTTTCCTGATGACGTCAACAAGTTGAAAGTCACCGGCGTCTCCTACTTCGGCAACAAACTGAAGTTCACCATCACCAAAGAAGAGATCAGGATCAAAGTGACCGAGTCTCCCCGGGACCCGCCGGCATCTCCCCTGGAAGCTGTGCTGGAGGAGTCGGGGCAGCAGTTTCCCCTGTGTGAAGGTACCGTGTCACCGCCTGAGTCTGTTGCCTAAAACAAAGACGTGGGGGGAAGCCATTCCCGTATCTCACCCAGGTTGGGTTTTGTTGTAGGGCAGAGCGTCTCTTTCCCCACGGCGGCCGGCTGGATTCAGAGGTCATCCACCAAGGCATTTTAAACCTTGGTTGATCTGGGTTTTACCCACCGAAGCAGCAGAAACAAGTTGAAGAGCAGATGCTGGCAGAGGGGGAAGGTAAGGGTGGGGTGGAAGGGGTCCCAGGCTGTGCCATAAACCCTTTGCCCCCATGGGACTGTGTGTACCATCTTTCTTCGTGGCCCCGGGGAGGGGTGGTGGACTCGGAGCTCTCACCGTGGCTGGGGTGGCAGCAGCTCCCAGAGTGATGCTGGGCATCCTTGTCTATGCTGGGTGGCACTGAGCCCCCTGACTCCTGTTCACGTGCCTTCAACATCTCTCACTTAGCAGAGGAGACAAAATCAAGCCTCAAAGTGACTTTTAAATGAGTTTTCTAACCGCCTGTGACTTGTTTATGCTTTAAACATCTGCATTTATAAGGATGCCCTGGCTGATAAATCTGTATTTAGTCCAGCCCGTACATGTGCTGACTCCCAGCTCCTCCAGGACGTCCTGGCTTGGTCCTCTCTTTTTCCCGGACGCCTGCGTCGCTCAGGGGGCTCAAAGGGCTGTGGACACTCAGCCACCCCTGCTTCGCCGTGTCACTCCTGCCTGCCAGTGAGCAAAAAGAGGAGGATCCCCGTGCCTCTGGGGTTTCAACACACCAAGCGACCGGGACCACCCCAAATCCTGCTGACCCCCTAATGTGAAACTCTGCCAAGGCAGCGTGGGGCAGCAGGCAGCACTGTGGAGTGGACAGAAGTAAGGCTGGAGCGGAGCGCTATTTTGGCACTAATATTAGTCACAAAATATACAGCCAAAAGCATTTTAGCCCTGTTTGGGCAGCGCGCAGCTTCTTTTGAGTTATTTGGCGTAAAACATCCCTATCATGTTTTTAACCCCTTATCTACATTATCATCTCTCTTTTCAAGCAGTTTTGGAGTTAAAGCGCTTCTAACTTGACATTTGAAGGGCTATAGGAAGCCCAGGTGTCTGTTATCATCAATATTATGTCAGATGACAAGTGCAGCATTTTTCTGGGGTCTGAGCAGACTTCTCCTCCAGCTAAGTAGCCTCAGGGCGAGCAAAGCCCTGCTGTGTATTTGCTTAAGGCATTTCCCATGTCCTAGAAAGCCCTGAGGGAGGAAAGGGAAGGGCACGGGACCAGCTCTGCACCTCGCAGCATCCTCCCCTCCTGCATCCCCCTTCCTGGGCGTGGGTTTGGTGCCTCGTTTCCCAGCCCCGCGCCTTTGCTAGAGCAGACATGGGTCAAAGCCGAGGGGATGTCGAAGGTGTTCCCTGCCCTGCCGGGGTCTGTCCTCTCTAAACAAACCCCAGGAATCTCGGCTGAATCCCACAGAGTTTATAAAAAGCCCTGCAGCCGCTCCCTGCCGCAGGCAGCATGTGGGAATGCTTAGGGAAGGAGGCGAAGCGACTCCCCTGCCTTATAATTATGCTGGCTCTTTGTCAGGCCTCATCAAAAGTCACCCAACTCCTAATTAGCAGCAGTTCTTGGCAGCAGGGCAGGGCAAATGGGCCCCTCCATCCCCTTGCCCCTGATAACAGCCCTATGGGCTGCACCTGGATTTGGATTTTGATGGGGCTGGGGATAAAGACCAGGTCCCAGGTGGCACTAAAAGGGGTGCACCCATCCCCCCCACACCCCCCCCCCAAAAAAAAAGGATCCTTTTAGTCCAGTTGTCAAAATGAACTGGCTCTGACCCGGGGAGGGCGATAGGGAGGGATAGCACAGAGCAGTGGGGTTGCATCCTGCACTCATCCCCTCTGTCCTTGCCCGGGGACCTGCTGGGCGATGTCTGCCTTACTGCAATGAGTTTGCAAGTCTCAGCATCCCTTGGAGGGGATGACACCTCATCTGCTTGAGCATGTCCCCACGGGGCCAATAAACTTCTTTGCTTCTTTCCCCTCGTCAGTCGCAGGAGGGGCCCTCATGGTCTGTGGCTGTTTTAGGCAGGGTGACTCTAAGGGTCGTGGAGATTATTACTTCTCCTGGCTGCGAAGAGCACGATCAGAGCGGAAAAAGTCATATTTATACTGTCCCTTTAGCACCCCCGCTGCACTACACACACGCACGCAGAAGACTCACAATGTGTGAAATGGTTTAATGATTTAAATAGTAATCGCCGAGGCTGGAGGGATGCTGTGCTCCACACAGGATAAAGGGAGTTAAAAAAAACGGGGTAACCAAAAATAATCGAGCTGCCCCAAGAAGCGTGGCTGGGAGCCGGGATCAGGCACCGTGGGGCTGGGGGTGCTGGACCAGGCAGGGGAGGGTGAGGGGAGATGCAATTGTTTGGGAGAAGCTTGTGGGGCTGTCTCCCCCCCCCCCCCCGCCCCCCCGCCTCCCCGCGGGTGGG